ATAGGGCAGGAGACCCAGGCTGCGTGGGAACGGTGGGGGCGGGGAGTGAGAGGTGTCAGCTAGATCTATGGAATAGTTTGATTTTTTTTTTTCCTTCCCCACCAATGTTGAATGTTATCTTGCTGTTAAAATATTGGTTTTCTGGGATTTACAGATCCCCTGAGGGCCAGCAGTCCCCTTTCTTCCCAGACTGGGGGAGGAAGCATAGTGCATAACGGTTTCTTACAGACGGCCCCCCTCCCCCAGAAAATGTCCTCCTTTTCACATTATCAACATGACAACAGCTCTAGTCACATATTTCAAGTGTAACTTTTTTTTCCTTTCCAAAGCACTGTCATTATTACAATTGCAAAATAGCATCCTCCCTACCTAATCCCCCATCAACAGTCTAGTGACAGTCCCCCCAAATTCATATCCCCCCCAACACACAATTTTTAAGGCCTTCCGATTTGGTGGGCAAGACTGCAGGGGCGGGCAGGAGGGCTGGGACCGAGGGACGGGGTGGGGGGGGTGGTCACAGCAGCACCCATCCCTCCGACTTCCCCAGAGCCCTCACAACCCTTCTCCCCAAAACCGCTTCCCGAAACCACTTTTAAAAACCTAAGATAAAAACGGCAGCCACAACTTTCTCAGAGAGAGAAAGGAAAGAAAACACACACACACAACTCTGACAAATAAAGCGGGAGATGAAACAGAGGGCCCATCCCAAAGTGAACACAAATATTGCAAATGTGCTTTCCAAAATTCAGGGTGGGGAGTTTGGGGAGAAGGGGGGAGCAGAGCAGCAGAATGGGAGGCATGAAGGGAACAAAAGAAGAACTGGAAGAACATAAGAGGTAGCTTTTAGAAAAACAACACCCCCACCCTCACGCAACAAAACAAAGCCTGGCTCGTCCCCACTCCAGCCCTGAAGAGAGACCAATTTTGGCAACCATGATCACACACGCAGAGTTGGGGCCACACAGTTGCCAGGATCTGAATAATATGGGCCCCTCGACCCTAATCACCCAGCTAATTGTAAGAAAGGTGGGATCTTCTCCAGGATGTTTTAGGCTGACCCCTTCCTGGGCGCAGAGGACTTCGGTCCCCGGGCAGAGCCAACAGTGACTCCAGCGAGCCCCGGACACACCCTCCCCTCCGCCCACCTTCTGCTGACCCCTGGCTCTCACGTTCAGATCCTGAGTACTCGCCTCCTTCCGTACAGCTCCCTCCAGCTGGGATGGGGAGGGCCGAGGCCAGCTGAAGTCTATTAAACCAACTCTTAATTTACACAAGAAACAGAAAAGAACGTCCTTCCTCCCTATTCCTCCAACCCCCAACCAAAAAAGAGATACAGGGGTTAAAAAAGCTCATGAGGTCACAAAAAACTGAGGTAATTCAAGTACAATGTGCTAACAGGGGAACAGGGGACACAGAAAAGAAGCAAAACATAACACAAGGGCCAAAGCGCTTTCAACTCCTCCTCCTCTCCTTCCTCCTCCCTATGGACTGGGGGGTGAGGGGTGCCCTGAGAGCCAGGAATTCTGTGCCGCTCTCTGCACCAGGGCTGGGGTCCCCAGCACAACTCAGCAACACCCCCCACCCCTGCCCCCGCAAGGACATCCACATCCTTCCCTCGGACAATGAGTCCTTACGTGGATTCCTTCTCCTAGGGACTGAAATAGGGGTTGTAGGGATTGGCGTTGGTTTGTTTGGTGGGACAGTATATAGTGAGTTATGTTTTCCCATTTTGGAAGCAAAAGCAGCTCAGCAGGAACCTCGCTCATGACAGGGCTTGACGAGGGTGGGGTACTCCATTTATTTTGTGTTCTCAGAAAGCTGAGGGCAGGGTAGGGGCTCTGGAGTCACACGCAGCTTCCCCGCTAGGGAGGCTGGGCGAGAAGGAAGATGCTCACCACCCCCACCTGCACTGGGAGGACAGGAGTCATGGGGAGGCAGGGGCAGGGAGCTGGGGGAAGGGCAAGAGCCATGAAGCTGCTGCTGAAGACCTTGAGGGGGACACCACGAGGGATGTGGCACAATGGTGGGGGGGGCGGTGCAGGGGAAAGCAACAGATAAACCGAGTGGTAGGAAGGGAAGGAGAGCGCCTCCCACCCCAATCTGCCCCAGCAAACCAGAGCTGCCATGTGACCATCGACTCGTGACCGGCCCAGCCCCACCACCTGCAGGCCCCCTCCCTGCCCCAGCCCCCTTCCTCTGAGGAGTCAGCAAGAAGGGGGCAGGCAGATTGGGTGGCTCTGACCAGAGGCCTCCTCGCCCCCTTCCCAGCCTCCACTTTTGGACGCAAAAGGGGGGTCTGGCTGGAGGGAAAAGAAAAATACACCACCATCTGAGCTGAGCAAACCACCTGCACCCCCACCCAAGAAAATGAGGCCAACCTCCAGCCAGAGAGGAGGGACAGAGGGCCCCCCCAGCCCGGGGAGGGGCCGTGGCCGGGCATCAGGTCACCTGGAGCCCCAGAGAGACTCCGAGGCCGGACAGCTATCAGGTTTCCTTTGTCTCGTCTCTTTTTTTTCTTTCCTTTTTTTCCCATTTCTCCTTCCTCGCCCAGTCCGTCCAGTCCGTCGGCGACTTCGGCCCGCTGGAGCGCCTCTGTCCCGGCTGCCCGCTCCCCTGCCGCGGCCGCGGCCCCGCTCACACGTAGCACAGGTAGAGGTAAGTCTTCTCTATCCTCCAGTCGGGCGGGATCTCCTCGGGCTTGTGGCCCTTCATGTGCTTCTGCATGGAGGAGAGACTGGGGCAGTACTCGGTGCAGATGGTACACTGGTAGGGCGAGGCGCCATTGTGCGTTCGCAGGTGCTTGATCATGGCCGAGTAGTCCCGGGAGCGCTGGTGACACAGCTTGCACTCGAAGGGCTTCTCGCCTGTGGGGGGTGCGGGGCAGAGCCAGGACAGAGGGAGAGGGCCGTGAGCGGCTCCCCGGGGATGCTGCGGGGGCCCCTCACGCCACCCTCACGCTCGGTGGGGAGGGCATCGGCCCCTCTAGTTTAGCACTCCCCTCTAGAACTCTCCGGGATGATGGATGCACCATCCAGTATGGTAGCCACCGGTCCACAGAGCTGCTGGGCGTCTGCCACGTGGAGCTGTGTGTTCCGTGGCGCTTCCCTCCCTGTTGCTCACGTCACCAGCCACGTGCAGCGAGAGGCTGCGGTGTTGCTCAGACACCCTTAGCCCTGCCTTCCTCTTCTCAGCCCTCCCAAAGGCCCAGAATCTTCCTTCTGAAGAAAGGGTCTGGGGGTCTAGAAACGGGGCGGTGAAGTCCTGAAAGCCCCTGGGGGTGGCCCTTCAGCACAGTTCCTTCCAGGGGAACAAGGGCTAAGAGTCCTTTCGGGGCCACAGCTGCTGGGGAGTAGGGAAGTGAAAGTGAGGGAACCCTGTCCTTCACACATGCTCCATCTGGGATGCCTACTCCTCCAAGGCTCCAGAGAAACTGCCCCTGGACCCTGCTTTCCCACTGGGGCTAGAATGGGGCGAGGGACAGACAGCCTGGGAGTGCCCAGCCACAGCCTAGCTGCTCCCCAACCTCCTCCCGGTTAGAGTCCCCTGGAGCTGAGCAGAGGGTGCGAGGGAACCTTGTTTCGATACAGTAATTAACTGGCCAGCCATCTCACTATCGATACTCCTCTGTGCAGAGGCCCCAGCAAATAATGAAGTAATGAACAGCCAAAGTGATCTAACTATCGACCCGCTATTTACAATAGTCACCACCAATGCATTTAATGATCTGCTCGGCAGGTCACATCCCCGGCAGGGGGCTAAGGAAGCCCCAGCGCTCTGGGAAATGCTCAAAGTGACTCTAGCAGTCAGCACCAAGCACCCGAGGCTCTCCTTGTGACCCAAGCGGAGGCGAGAAAGCAGGGCCAGGACAGCACAGCATCCTCTCCTCATGGCGCCCTCTGTTCTCCCCCGCCCCCGCCCTGCGCATGGAAGCATTCTCTCCCCTCGGCCGGCCGGCAGGACCCGCCTGAGGTCACCTCTCCCCCGTCCTCTGGCCAGGACAGCTGTTTCCCCTGATCGCAGGAGGCTTCCTAGTTTGCTAGATTCCACTACCTTCCACTACCTCTTATCCTCATGGGAAGTCCTGCCGAATGTCTACCTCCCCCCACCCCCATCGCCCGGCGTGCTTCTGCTGAATCTGTTTAACAACTGGCTCTCCGAAAAGGTGGGATTTTGGAGCATTTGCCCGTGGCCATGCTGTGACTCCTCCCAAAGTGGCCGGCTGGGAGCAGCTGAGGCGATGTCACGGCACTCGGAGTCGGGAAGATGTGGGCAGGGTGGCCTGTCGCGGGCGGGTTGCCGGCTAGCAGCAGCATTGCACCGCCCCCAGGTCGGGCAGTGCTAGACCCTGGGGCCACTTCACTTGTTCTGTCCCCAGAGCCCACACTGGGGCACATTCCTTTTACATAAAAAGCAACGTGGAGTCCCTCTGAAACGGTAAGCACCCTACACGTATCTCGGCTCCTCCTCTCTCCGAAAGGAGCTCAGTCTGACCCCCAGCGTCCCAGCCCTCATCCTCACCGAGCTCAGTGCCCCCTAACCCCCAGTAACAGGAAACCATACCAGTCTTTGCTTTCAGCCATCAGGCCAACTTGACCCCAATGCAGCACTCACCGATCGATGTCCTCTGCGAGCTACTGGTATGGCTGCCTGGAAGGCCAGTCTGGCTCCCCGGAAAGTGTGCTGTGATCGACCAGCAATGTCTGCCGCGGCCTTGCCCCTGGACGCCGCACCCAGGCCGCCAGGCTCACCTTCCCCAGAACGCGTCCCCCTCTCTCAGCCCCAGACCACGCTCACCTGGGCTGCTCTGGCGAACCACCTGCCCCCCGCCCCCGACACCCAGGTCCCTGCACCAGCTCCGGGGCCCGCACTGGCCCTCCGTACCCGTGTGCACCCTGTAGTGCGTCTCCAGCTGGTGCTTGAGGCTGAACTTCTTGCCACAACCATTGCACTCGTAGGGTTTCTCGCCCGTGTGGATGCGTTTGTGGCTCTTGAGTGTGCTCTCATCCCGGAAGCAGCTGCCACAGAACTCACACTCGTATGGGTGGTCGCCTGTGGGGACAAGGGGCTGGATCAGGGCCTTGCCTCCCCCCGTCCCCGCTCTAGGAGACAGCAGGGCACGGTCAGTGCGCCAGGAAGATGAGACTGCCTGTCTTCGCCGCTGTTCTCCAAAGACAACGTCAGGAGCCCCCGTGTGAACACAGGAGCGTACTTCAGTGCGGCCCAGGGCTCGTCCACGGGTCCAGAGCCAGTCTCAGGAGGAGAACGCCCGACTGGTTCAGGGATGAAGAGCAGGCCCCAGCAAGCAGGCTCCCACAAGGGGAGAGCAGACTCGTGCACTGTGACACTTGCCCCCCAGCTTCCCGTGCTACCTTCTCTCCCTTTCCCATAGGTCAGGGGCAAAAGCCATTCCAGCCTGACTCCCCTACCCTCAAAAATACCCCTTCAATTTGGGGAACTAGAACACACCATCCCCCAAATGCCTTCTGCTCTCTCCCCGCTCCACAGCTTCAGCAACTATCCCCTCTGCTTGATTTCCTCTCTCCCCCCCCCAGCAAACTCCTAGTCATCCTTCAAGGCCCAGCTCACACATCCGCATGGTTTGGAAGTGTCCTTTTAGCGCCTCCCACCCAGGCACACTCAGTCACTTTCTTCTGTCCCAAGAAAGAAGAAATGCCTAGCACAGTGTTATTGTAGTAGCAGGATAATTTTTATGGTACTTTGTAATCAAAACAGCCCAATCTGTTGAGGGCTCGCTACCGTGCTAGGAACCTTACACACATCTTACCATGTAATCACTGCAATAACCTGACGAGAAATGCAGAATTCTCATCATGCAGAGAGGAAGAATGAGATGCTTAGATGGTCTCTAAGGTCAAAGAGCTTATAAGCAGCGGAGTTGGGATTCAGATCTGGTTTCAGAGTCTGGACACGTGATAACTTATCAGATGGCTAAGTGACATGCTGTCATGTTTCTCCTGCCACGCACACCCTGCCTCTAGGATGGAAGCATCTCAAGGGCAAGAAGGGAGTCTTGTTAATCCTTGTTGCCCAGGGACGCAGCACAGGGCCGACCTGGAGCAGACACTCGGAAAGGGCAGGTAGACGAAGCTCGGGGAGAGCAGCCGCCCCTCGGCCTAGAGGCCGTGCCCGTCAGCCTCCCTTCCAGGCCCCTGGATGGTGAGAGGTTGGGGTGTGCAGATTCACCATCTTCTGCTTTGTACCCAAAGTGGAGGCTTTGGGGGCTGAAAGGTGAGGCCTTCAGCGACTTATTTATTACAGGAGTGAAGGCAGAGACAATAAAGATAGATGGATCACCCCAGACTTTGTTCATGAATATTTAAATATCGCTGATTCGTCTTGTCACTGTAATTACAATTTCTCTGGGCTGCATCTCCAACAACCACAGTTTATGGTAAAGAATGGCCCACTGTATTTCACTTGTCCCTCTGCAGATGTGCGGGGCTGCCAACCGTGTAATGTCCTCTGCATTTCATACATTTTCTTCAGCTGCTGAAGGTTTAAGTCATCCACAATGACCTACGTTTTTTCATTATCCCCATGTCAAACTGCACTCGTGCCTGGGCATAAATTGTCCTTCTCGTTATAGACTCGCATGCCTCTGCCTTCACTTCACTTCCTCCTTAAAATGATATTTTACTCTCTTGTCTCTCTCCTCCTCAGGCCGCTAACCAAACCTCCCCCCCCCCCCCCAATGTCTATCACCCAGCCACCCCCCCCCCCCCCCCCCCCCCCCCCCCCCCCCCCCCCCCGTCTCAAACGCAGGCCCCTGTCCCCACATAAATTCTCATCTCTTCTGATGGCTCTGAAGGGTTTTTAAGGCTCTGTGGGGAGTGGATGCTGGGGTCTGCTCCCTGGCTACGGGCTCTCTCTCTGCAAGAAGCTCCAGAGGCAGAGAAGGGTGGGTGCGAGCACTTCCGCGAGGAGTCAGACGGTCAGACGGGAGAAGTTGGAAGAGCAGAGCCGGCCCCCCAGTTCTCACCCATCTAGAAGGCACAGCCCTGGCTCAGAGGCACGTGTAGGTCTGGAGACAGGCCGAATCCCGGGGTTCTCAGCCCCTGCGCGCCCCCTCTCTGCCAGGGCTGTGCGGACCGCCTGGTCCCCAGCCACCAGCCCCACCCAGCCCCAGGGGAGCAGAGGTCCGTGCAGACCCTGGTCCTCCTTAGTTGTGTGTCTGTCCGAGTGAGGGTCAGTCCGTGCAGGCCTGCGCCCGCGCACCACTCCCTCTCTGCGCAGACGTCTGCACACACAACCCCCCGTCTGCCATCCGACACCCCCTCCCCGCCGAATTGGCAACGATAACGACTTTAATCAAGGATTCAGTATCCTCATTAAGATATAAATAAATAAATAAAGCAAGGGCCACGTGAGACTTCCAACGAGAGCCGGTAATTAAAATGTACATCTCGGCAGCCACCCGGCCGGGGGGTGAGCGCAGTGGCGGGGAGCCGCTGTCTGTGCCACCCCCTCTGGAGAGGGGGGGGCTAAGAGTTTAAAAAACAAAGGGTTAAAGCAGAGAGGTTTGTCTGATCAGAGTTTTATGAATTTAATTATGAAGTGGATCACATGTTAAACGAGTTTAAATAGGAAATCTCCAGAATCAGCCCAGGAAAAGGAGTAAAAAGAACTTAGAAGAAAAAAAAGACATACGCGCGTGTGCGTGCGTGCTCACACACACACAAACACACACACTTTGAAGCATGGTGATCACCTGGCCTAAAATCCTCACCCTGAGAGTTACTGGTGTCCATGCTACCATAATGTACACAAAACTGCAGAACTCAAAATCCAATTTCTGGTACGTTGATTAACTCTGTAGCCTCTTTAATGAGCTTGACATTAAGTGCAGGACAAACGAGACTAATTAGAGCCCCTCTGGCCTGCCCAGTGCATCTGTGACCCCAGTGGCCTGGCCTCACCTGGTGGTTTCTGTGGCACCAGCCAGGCCCCACCCCGGCAGCTCCTCGGGCCCCTCCCTGTCAGCCCCTCCCTTTAGCACAGCTGAGAGTTTATTATATGATGAGCCGTGTGAATCAGGGATCCATCAATGCCAAGAGCGCGGCTGGACTAACCTACCAAACACAGCTGCCGATGCTAAACACCCGGCCCCAGCAGCAACTGGGCCAAGAACAACGGAATATTAATGAGGCATTGTGTGGGGGGTGTGCTCGGCCTGTAGAGGGCTTGTGTGCACGGGGCCTCACTGGTGTGAAAATCGATGGGTGCGCGCGCGTGCGTGGGCAGCAGTGTGCTCCACGTTCCCGAGATTAAACAAGTACTTCTCCCGAACTCTGTCCGGAGAGAGCCGCTCCCCACAGATCCATGCCATGACTGACACAGGAGCCGGTGATATTTTGGCGTCTGCACTCTTAGAAGGGAGCACGGGCAGAGCAGGGCATATCCTGGGTGGACTCAGCAGGTTGGGATCATTTAAGTCCCACGCAGCCAACTGACTTGACCTAGCAGCATGCTCCGAAGTGGCCGAAAGGTGACCGGCCACCATGTTAAGGCTGAACTTGGGGACCCAGTCGGGGGGGAAGTGTGGACAGGAGAGTGCATAGACCTGCAGGGGATGTGTACACGGTCACTACAGAGAAGCCCTTCTTGTCGGGTCCTACCCTCTGGGACCTCCCCTGTCTTATGCCAGCAAACCTCAATGACTCCATGCAAGTCAGGTGATGCTTAAGGCCATACGTTCCCCTCAAGTGAATGACATCAGAAAGTGCAAGGCCAGGCAGGCTCCTGGATGAGGATGCACACTCTTGGCAGGACAGACCTGCTCAGTCCATGATAAGTAAAGCCCCTCCCTCCATCAGCAGAGACTGCCACCCAAGAAAGGCCTGGCCTGCATACTTAATCCCAGAGTTGTGACAAGACCCAAGAATGAGGACAGAGAAGGTCCTACCATTCCTGTCTTGAAGCACACAGCTTTTAATACCCTCTCCAAGAGACATGAGCCTACACCCTGTTATAGACCCCGATATGGAGTCTGCCTCTCTATCTCCCTGACCCCACCCTGTCCCCCATTCTCACTCCAAACTCAGGACAGAGCACACATGAGCAGAGACACACACAGACTCAGAAAGGGACACTCCTTTATCCATGTGCTGTCAGCGAAGATCCAATTTTTTCCCAGAGAAAAGGATGAATTTAAGTCACCCATTACTTTGCTAGGGGATCGGAGGCTGCTACAAGAAAGCCATCTGCCTCCTGGCCCTCAGGGTCAACCTTCTAGAGGGTGGCAGCCGGGATGAACCAGTACCTGGGCACACGGCCCATCCCCCTTGACTCACGACTACTTTCCTCCTCCATCATCTGGCTCATTGTTTATATGCCCTCATCTTCTCCCCTAATCAAGGTTAATGGCCAAGTACAGAAAATTTGCTTCTGTTATTTTAGAGCAAGCAGTACCACTTCTGCAACATGCCCTTAGGAGCCCAGGGCTGATGTCAGGAGCATGTGTCCATGGGGTGGAGGCCAGGGAGAGGTGACCAAGTGGGTAGGTTTTTCTCCAAATGCGTTTTGGGTCCACCTGCATCAGAATCTTTTGGGAATACTTACTCATCACATCGAGTCTTGGCTCCCTCTCCATATCCACGAAGTCAAAGTTTCTGAGGGTGGAACCCAAGAGCCTGCATTTCTAATGAATACCCTCTCCATTGAGCGCAGAGAGACTGAGACCCACAGGTCCCCAAGATAGGAGGGGAAGAAGAACTAACAACATTTACCTGCACAATGGAAGCCCCCCCATGCCCACCTTGAGCAAAGAAGGGCTGAGGGCCGACTCAGCCGGACACCTCCCCTTTATGTCTCTGGAGGCAGATGCAGACACGGGTTCCCAGGGACTCTGAGCCAGCCATCCCCTGGACGGGCTTACCGGTGTGTGAGCGCAGGTGGCGTTTGAGGGCGGTGTGGCTGGGGAAGGTGCGGTTGCATTCGCTGCAGATGTAGCTGCGCACGCCCGCGTGGACCTCCATGTGCTGCTGGAGCGCGCTCTGGGCCTGGAATCGCTTCCCGCACAGCAGACAGAAGACGGCCATGTCCGTGCCTGTGGGGAACAGGAGAGCTCAGGAGCGGGGAGCACACAGCCTCTCCTGACTCATCCGGGCCAGAGCCAGAGCCAGGGCTAGGCCTCTGCTCGGGGGCGAACCCAGAGGCGGCCCAGGCCATGCAGTGGTGAGGGGGCACCTAGCGTGTGGCTCCAATCGTGGACAAAATCAACTTACCGCTCACCCTTATGGCACCTAAAGTCTAGCAGGAGAAAGAGACAACCAATCCGTCACAACAACAAACGTGAGTCAGTAGCTGTGTGGGGGGCTGTGTCAAAGGCAGGGTATTAAGATGGCATGTGTCGGGGTGCCTGGGTGGCTCACAGTCGTTAAGCGTCTGCCTTCGGCTCAGGTCGTGATCCCAGGGTCCTGGGATCGAGCCCCACATCGGGCTCCCTGCTCCGCGGGGAGACTGCTTCTC